TATAGGGAACCTATAGACCTTATGAGGAACCCTATTGGTTCTATAGGGGGCTCTATAAGTTCTATAGGGAACTCTATAGGTTCTATAGGGAACTCTATAGGTTCTATAGGGGACTCCATAGGTCCCGAACTGAACTCTATGGGGCATATAGGATCCTATAGGATTCCGTTAAGTTCCTATAGGATTCCTTTAGGTTCCAATAGGATTCTTATAGGAATATATAGGAATCCTATAATACATTTTCGTAAGGGCAGTGCCCTCTCCCTAAACTCATCTATTTTATTGCGTAAGCTGCGTGCATTCGCGTGCAAACACTTGACTCCTCCCTGCTTTTCCTGCACACTAGTGCGCGGCGGTCTAAAGCTTCTTGTAGTGCTTGTCTCTTACTTGTGATCCCTAGCCCCCCCCCGTTCTACAACCCTAAAAAAGGCTCATTTTCCTTCATAATAGCCAATCCGACTCGGCCAAATGGCCAAAATCCCAGGCCATGTCCGAGGGCACCTGTCCAACAACCCAGACCGGGCTTCTCGGCCGATTGTCCGAATTCCCAGGGCTTTTCCCCGTGGGCATGTCCAAAATCCCTCTTCGCGTTTCTAACCAAGTTTTAACCGACCAGTGTGCAGAAATAAAGGCCGTTCTCCGAAGCCTGTCCCTCACAGCCCCCATCCTTCTCACGTTCATGCAAAATCAACCCCAACTCTCTCGAGCATGTACACATATAGTTCTTTTTTTTATTGTTCTAGATCTGGCTGCATATGAACACAACTGATTCAGAAACAAGGAGGGAAAGGTAGTGCCTGAAACACGTCCGTTAACTTGAAATCCATGGAGCATCTGACTCCCTCCAGTCTTCGTGGGCTTCTTCGCTTCAGTCTTTAACTTGGTCCATTTCACCAATGTAATCCGGGCAACACCGAAGGCGCCTGACATGCCTCTCCACGCTTCTTCAGAGTCCTTTCACATCATGAAGGGGGATATATCATCTCCATACCATGCTGACCTTTCAAAATGAAAGCGAGAGATAAACATCGTGAGTCACCAGATTCACTAAAAAGATGCGGAATATGGAAATATCCTTCCCAGGAACATATTATCCCTAGCGCTCATTATTCCATTGGAAAGATGTCGCTTCGTATGGCAGTAATTCTTATGTCAAATCAAATTTGGTACAAAGGATCGTGATTGACGGAATTTCGGAAAACTGCCGCTCTTCAATATTCACTCTTAAAAAAGGAATAATTACATTAAACTGCTCAGGCTTACCTATTCGTGACTGTGGCAAAGTCGAGATGTATCCGCCAGGTTTAATGACTTCGCAGTGAAGTCATATCGGTTGTTCCTCTGTTGTGCTCGTCCTTCTATTTTTCTCCCAAGGTCGCATGGCATGCATGTGTCATTTCCTCCGTTCCTGCGTTCAAGAATGATGGGGGAAAATGCGTCAAACCTAGTAAAGAGGATATAACAGCTGTTTCAGGGGAAAAAAGAAACAGATTCCGTATTCATGATTCCCCCCGTGGTCTCTCCCTCTTTCTTCTAATTTTCAGTGAAGTTCCATGAAATTAAACGCATTTTTGCGGAATTATCTTGGCTCTCCCGAGGCTGTTGTCAAAGGCGATATCATAACATTCCTCATAAGCTCGCCCGATCACAGTGATGGAGAAAAGGGCAGGGAAATATTGAATCAACTCACATGAGACAATAAATGGAGCAAGGTGTAGCGACGAAGGAGAGGAGTGTAACACTCAATGGGACCGGGCAGAAAAGGTTCCCTCTTCTTCATTGTAGGATAAGACCTAATCACCTCCGCACTAGATGGAAAGAAACTGACTGGGGCTGACAGGTGAGTCTTTGTGCGTTGCTTCGCGCCACGAAGTAGGGCCAGTGGCAGACTCCACCTCCTTTCCTTGATTCGAGGGATGACGCCTGACGCTACTGACGTCAGCGTAGGTTTCCTTGCTAAACTTCCAGTTTCTCTTCTGTCTTTCAAAATTCCAACGATTCATGGTGAGGTTTTCTGAAATTGCAACTGGACTGTTCCTCGTTCCATTTTTTTTTTACTATCAAAATTATCCAACGCTGAAGAAACACGTTTGATTATAACAAAATGGGTTGATCTTTGAATTATTCAGAACTTCATGAGTTTCCACTGCCTCATGAGATCGTTTCCCTTCTCTCCTACTTCTAGCGAGGGTGAAGCATCTTCAGGGAAATGTATGCAATTTGTGTTATATGCTTTGTTCCCAAGTGTTCAGCTCAATGGATTCCAAGTTAACGGACGTGTTTCAAGGCACTACCTTTCCCTCCTTGTTTCTGAATCAGTTGTGTTCATATGCAGCCAGATCTAGAATAATAAAAAAAGAACTATATGTGAACATGCTCGAGAGAGTTTGGGTTGATTTTGCATGAACGTGAGAAGGATGGGGGCTGTGAGGGACAGGCTTCGGAAAACGGCCATTTATTTTTGCACACTGGTCGGTGAAAATTTGGTCGGAAACGCGACGAGGGATTTTGGACAGATACCCGCTGGGAAAAGGCCTGGGAATTCGGACAATTGGCCGAGAAGCCCGGTCTGGGACATTGGACGATGACCTTGATAGGAATGCGTAACGCATATGTCAATGCCGCCACAAACGTCAGCATAATTTCTGTAAAATTTAGTGGCGCAAAGCCAGAGTTGCTGATAAATTGACGTGTTTTTCTCAAATGCAAGAAATAGGGGATACGGACAAATGTGGAGAAGGTTACGGAACAATTGGCAATGAAACAATACATTTTCCCTCATTCCGATGGATACGGACAATGACGGATGAAAGGTATTGCCTCTGGCTGAGCGCAGAATGCCACAAAATTGAGACTGGCCTGGATTTTCCGTGATGTCTGCCAAATTTCTTCCTAAGCTCGGTCATTTTTTCTTGCATTCCTTCATCACGTGCATATTCACCCAAATATGGAAAAAATATTCATATTGTCACTGTCACTCTCTTCCAATTCCTAAAATGGAACTTTCGAAACCGAAATGAAACCTGTTGTTTGTGAATTGATTCCGCCAGACTTACGATGTAGGTCTACTTCCGGCGTCATTAATTGGCACGCTCTCGAGGACAGGAGACATTTCTTCAGTTGTAATTGTTCCCCTGGAAATCAGGTCCTTTGCAAGTTCACCATCTTCTTCCTTGGACTGATTCTTCCGTTCTATCATGATATTCATGAAAGTGGGTTGGTTGGGCTTTTCATACCACATTTGCAACAGGAATAGTGTCTAAGCAACAACGTACATAGACCTAATTCTGGCAGCACGAATGTCTGATTATTGTATATGTAAACATGGGAACTCCTGATTGTCTTTCTATTGATGTATAGTGCGATTTCTGAATAGATATGAACTAATAACAAAGGCATCACAAGACCATGTACGAGGAATTTCAGAGTGATTTTCACCAAGAGTTAAAAATATGCTACAGGTTGAATTAAAGTCGCTTGTTAATATGTCAATGTCCTTTTTTTTTACTATTTCTTTAGGTAAATCCGACATACCTAAATGTGACATTTCTAAATACATATCTCTATGGAATATCAAATAGGTTTCTACATGTAGAGGCAACTTTCCCTATAGCAGCGCTTTCAAAAATAGCTGGAAACCATGAAGTTTCATAGCGCCCAGTCACAGGTGAACGTTGGTACAGATAAAATTACAATAGAAATGAAATAGTCAGCCGAGACCATCAAGGTGACCAGAACTTCCGAGCGCATATTTCCAAACTCCTATATGAAGTCTAATTTCGACATTTCTTGATTTTTTCCAAGTATTGCTTGCACTAGTTCGGAATTTTCTTGTCAGGGGCATCTTCACGGGTAAGTCAACCTGTGCCTGCAGTTGCCTCAAGTCCCGTGCGTTTCCATCCCTTCATAATGAATAATACTCAAATATTGAACTCGGAGCTTCTAGTAACAAGCCCATATGACTCGAAGTAGTATATTGAAGATTTTACCTCTAAACAAATTATAATGCAATGGTCTTTTAGCCCTTAGACTCTCAAGGTACCGTGATTTCGGCTCTTCTTGATCGGATACAATTACTCTTGGGAGTGAAAGGATTAATAAAGAGGGGTTCCCATGATTCACTTCGCCAATTTTTTACGCTAACATTTTTCAAGCTATGGAAAGCAGGTGAACGAATGTAGGATCGGTGGAAATTAATTTAAAGAAAGAACCTGGAAATTGTGCAAAAATTAAATTTTAAATGAATTTCATATTTTAAATAGCTTATGTTCACCACTCACCTTGTTCCAGTTTATTTGCTAGATCGATGCCGCCAAAATCACGTAGGACCTGAATGAGTTCTTGAAAGTTCGTGTCTCCCATGAGAGGTTGGGCTTTCTGAAGAAACAGCAACTTGTCCTCTTTGTTTTTTATATTATCGAAATATACGTCGTGACAGATGATCCTCTTGGCCCTTAGATCTTTCAAGATTCTATTTACGTCCATGACGGATCTGTTCTGGAGATCTGTTACGTAACGAGAGAGTATATTAGCAACTCCGTGAAAGAACGGAATTTTTATTAACCCTTTCAGACCCAGCGTCCATTCCAATGGACATAGCTTTATCATTGTGTCTATGGTAATTTCTTTTTGGTATTCTCGTGACTTTATTCCTCAAATGGGCGCAATTATGCATGGCTTAATTCCCTCAAAGACCTTCTCTTACATGTCAGTTTAGTGATCTTCAATTACGCACTAAAATGTTTAATATATAATGTATATGATATGGTAAATTTGTACAAAATAAAATATCGATATACTGTATTTGAAATAAAAAAGTTTAAGTAGAATAGCTAAAGAGCTCAAAAATGCAAAAAAGTATATTATACTGATAGTGGCCTTAATTAAGGTCCGAAAGTGTTAAATAAATTCGTTTTGGAAAATATTTTTTGTTCATGACTCACCATGTTCCATTCTATCTGCTAGCATGGAATGATTTGAGCTACGGAGGACATCAATGAATATTGGAAATGCGATGTCTCCCCTGCGACGTAAGATTTCCAGAAGAAACAGCACCTTTTCCTTATGGTGCTTCCTAATAATTTCAATGTATTGATGGTGCATAATGATTCTCCTTTGAAATAGGTTTGCCAAAACGTTATCCATGTCAATGAAATCAAGTGTTTCTCGGTAGTGAAGGAGTGTAACTTCAACATCGTTAGCCGAGTAAGTGCATCCTTCGCTTCTGTAATATCTGAAAGACAGGAAGGATTACCTTCATTGTGGCGCTGGAGAGATGCTTTTGAAATGATAGCGAGGTCAATGAGAAGCATTCTGATGAAACCGCCGGAACCGTGCAGCCAATCACAAGCCGGATCATGATCACGTGATCTTGAGCAGTATGGCGCACTGCAGCCAAGTGAACGTCTGCCCTGCCGTCGAAGGCATCAGAGTTCTTATGCCATTATTTCAAAGGCTATGTCCCTTTTTGCACTCGCTCCGGGGTGATTCCATCATGACTAACATAACAATCGCACGCAGAGTAAATATATATCTACTCAATTTTCTCGGCCAGTTTTCCTCCCTACATAAAATTATATTTCCTTCATAGCGATTTCATCTTGCCCATGCTATTCAGCGCTTCAGCACACGTAAACAATGCAAATTTCTGCTGTACAAGATGTCTCTAGATGAATAGGCCCTTTTTAGGCGGTCTTTTTAGCTGCTGCATTGCTTTCTCTTTAAAATGTTTTGTTTTAAATGGTGATTGCTCCGTCAATGTTCGAAGATCTCGAAATACTAATCCATGAAAGTGCTATCAAGAGAAATTATTTGAGCAACCACTCAGATTTATGAAGGTATACTTACCAGGAACGTGTTGCATCTTTTTGATGGTTTGATGAGTCAAACCAACTACATCATGAGTCAACGTCAAACTAAAATTTGATGGCCATTTCATGGCATCTGATGAAAATACTGAGGGAGAATTTGATGTCAGATTCATTAGGTCAGATGATGAAATCAATTGGTGATAGTGATACGAATATGGTGATGCTAATTCATTGAGTGACGAAATAAAATCTGGTGATGAATCATTACTTCTTCGTGATAGAATCAATATTATTAGGTGATGAATTAAATACTAACCTTTTAACATTACCCTTGGTAACCCGGTCAACAAAAGCGTCCTCTATCGGAATACTGCGCCATCTTACGGAAGTGAAAAAAAAACCTCTTAGACTCAGGAACCTCTCTGTCAAGTATCAGCTGGATCCAACTGTCCATTGAAAATTAAAGTTTTAAAAGTTTACTGAGTTCTGAGACGGTCGAGCACAGGTGCACACCGAGCTAGAATGATCCACCTCAAACAATAAGCACTACCCAAGTGATAGTTTCAGATTTTCACCAAACTTTGGTTATTGAAACGACTCTCAAAACGAAGTCAAACGGCACCAAAACTTGCGGCTGAGAAAACGGTTTAGGCTGATATCTGGCTATCTTAATTTTCCATGAGACAGGGTTATTATTGTCACCGCCCCCTTTTTCATTGTCTATAACTTTTCACGGGAAAGTCATATTCAAGTGATATATGACGGAGAGGTTTATGAGCGAAGGAGGTGTTTCCCTTGCTGCAAGAAGTCCCTGCATGCCGATAGAGGGCGCTGATGTCGACAGCAGCGCCACCTAACTACTTGCCATGTCATTTTTTAGGCATGGGGAAGAACCCGTTTAGGCCTATGAATCTCGCTGCCAATTATCATCTGCATCCGGGAGTTTTTTCAAATGATGAAGGCAAACAAAGTTGGATTTTGACCTTACAATTTAACTTTTTTTGGTCATAACTTTTTAAGGAAAAGTCAGATCCAGTCAGTCAGATCCGAGCGCCAACAAATCGCCCGTATTTGTAGGCCTGCAAAGCTGGATGCAAAATTCCAACTGGGGGTCTTATCAGCGCCGCATACAACGGAAGAATGATGGGAGATGTCCAACTTGCAACCGACCGACGAATGTAACCTAGAATCCTGTTGCATTTGTCCACCGTTGCTTGTGCGTGCGAGGAAAACTTGAGGTCCTCGTCGATAGAAACTCCTCAATCTCTCCGTTTGCCTCATCCAATTTAACATCACTGAACGTGTCGAGAGACCTACCATTGTTTCGACTGAACATTTCTTGCTCCACTCGTGGAAAGACTTAGATCTCGCTCGGCACTAGCCCTATCCGCCTCCCCCCTTATTGTAAAACCTACCTTGGTGTCGTCGCCAAATTTACTTATCTTACCCTCTACGCCGAGATCCAAATCGTTTATGTAGACCAAAAACAGAAGCGGTCCAAGGACCTCGCCTTGAAGGACACTGCTTGCGACTCCGACCTCCTTCGACGCTTCCCCTTTTATCATCACCCGTTGCTTTCTTCCTGCCAACCAACTACTGATCCACTCACTCGTCCTACCCTGGATCCCCTGCGCCACCAGTTTAACACGTTGGCGACAATGCGTCCTGATGCCAGGATGCAGATTTTTTTTCAATGAATACCCTCTGGAACTGTTGAGAACGTTCCAGAAGATTATGATTTCGTAATTACTGATAAAAATTCAAGAAAATTCAACGTTTTAAAAAAACTCGGCAAAAAAAATTGTTTTCTGGGACCATGCGTCCTGATGGCAGGACGCATTTTTTGACAAAAAAAATGCGCGTGGTCCCACGTGGCGGACAAGCAAAAATAGGCTGGTCGTCAACGTGTTAAACCACCACATCTTGTGAGGAACGGTATCGAAAGCTTTCGCGAAATCTAAATAGACGATGTCCACGGGATTCCACTTATCCCTCTCTTCCGTCGCCCAGTCGTAGAATTCGAGAAAATCGGTGAGACAATTTCGACTCCTCCTAAAGCCGTGTTGAGAGTCCCGAATGACCGCGTTTCCTTCGAGGAAATCCAAGAGATGGTCCCTTAGTATGCTCTCCATGATCTTCCCTGGGATACTCGTGAGACTTACAGGCCTGTAATTTCCTGGATGACTCTTTTTTCGCCCTTTTTAAAGATTGGTACGACGTTTGCTAGTCTCCCGTCCTTGGGCATTTCCCCGCGCGAAAAGCTGCTTTCGAATATGATTCTTAGCGGAACCGATATTTCTCTTGCGGTTTCCTGAATGACTCTTGCAGGAATCCCATCGGGGTCGGTTACCTTGCCCACCTTTAACTTCCCTAGCGGATTCACGATCGTCTCCTCGGTAATGGAAATATCCTCGATGCACACCGAGGTCACCTCCTCCAAAGTCGGTGCCGAGTCGGATTCAACAGTGAAAACGGTAGCGAAGAACTCGTTAAGTATACTGGCCATATCCATATTACTTGCAATCGACTCCCTCTTTTCGTTCATTAGCAACTGTTGACACCTACCACTAGCAGACCGATAAAAACCATTAGGGTTCTTCTTTGCATCGATAGCCAGCCGTTCATTTCGCTCCCGTCTCGCAGATCTAATTTCCCGCTTCAACGTCCACGCGATCCTCCTATATTCCTCATATTCCGTGCTATCTCCCGTGCGCTTGTACGCATCCCATTTCCGCTTTTATCCCTGATGAGGGCTTTGATTTTAACCGTGAACCAGACCGCTTGCCCGCCCGATTTGATGGATTTCTAGGGTATGCATTCCTCCATAATGCCCTGCGATAACGTCTTGAACGCTCCTCTACCGTCAGCTCACGGAACCGCCCCTCCCAGTCGATGCCTGAAACGCATTCGCGTAGTCTCTCGAAGTTGGCTTTCTTATAGTTGTACGAAACCTTCTTCAGTTTGGTGTTACTTTTCGTCCGCTTGATATTCCACGTGATCGCGCAGTGGTCCGAATCTCCCAAGTTATCCTGTACCTTAACGTCGAATGCCAGATTGTCGTTGGTCGCAAAAACTAAATCCAATAAAGCTTCCTCGCGAGTCGGTTCATTTACGAGGGTCACTCAATAAGTTATCTTCCTGAATAAGAAAGAAACATCCGAGGGGAAAAAAAAACACTTTATTTCTCAATGTAGTCACCTTCTAACTCAACAAACTTATTCCACGTTGATTCCAAGGATTTCATTCCCTGGGAATAGAAGTCAACTTCTTGTCCATCAAACCAATCAGAAACGGCAACTTTCAGCTCTTTCATTGCATGAAAATCTTTTTCCCCGCGAAAATTTTTTCAATTGTCTGAGCAGAAAATAGTCACTAGGAGCCAGATCCGGCTGTAGGGAGGATGGTTGAACTCCCGAAAGTCACACTCCCTCACTGCTGCCTGAACATTCCATGATTTGTGGACGGGCGCGTTGTCATGGAGAAGAAGGACCCCCCTTGACAACTTTCGTCTGCGTTTTTCCTCGATAGCATCGTGTAAATTTTTCATGGTGGTAGCATAGGAATCGCTAGTGATTGTACACTCGTCTGGCATGAACTCAAGCAGCAGTAGTCCCTCGCTGTCCCAAAACACAGTGGCCATAATCTTTCCTGCAGATTTCTGAACACCAAATTTGCGAGGCGTTGGCGATCCCTTGTGATTCCACTGCATGGACTCCTGCTTGGTTTCGGGATCCCAGTGATGAACCCAAGTTTCATCACCTGTTACTATTATGGCAAAAAAGTTTCCCAGATTTGTTTAGAAAANATAGCTCCCCTATTCGCTCCTCCAAGCTACAAACTCTGCATACCTGGTATACCTCTCGTTCACTAGTCCCACCTACCCAATCCCCATAACGAACGCATCTACACATCCTAGGCATCTTACTTAAAGCTATTGATCCCTATTGCCACTCCTACTGCTTTAGACTTATACTTTGCAGTACTTCACACCAGTTGTAACCCGGTAAGACTGTACTGTCTTAGTCCTTGTAGTAAAAGGAATACTAAGAGTAATGCGCTTATAATTAAAGTAATTAAGCTGATTGATACTGATCTAATGTGAAGTTGGAGGTAGCTATCAGAAAACTTATGAATACTGCTACAAAGTAGTCAGGTAACAACTAACTCACGACTTAGCTGACAGAACCTCGAGAGTATCCTCCACCACGTCCTCACGCTACGAACGCTTGACAAATACTGTCAAGTCATGAGAAGTTAATAATGCNTCGAGAGTATCCTCCAACACGTCCTCACGCTACGAACGCTTGACAAATACTGTGAAGTCATGAGAAGTTAATAATGCAAGAAGTGGAATACTTCGCATTGGTGTGAATATTTATGTTCCACCCTGTAATAAGTATTCCATACTTGGTACGTTGATCTGTTAAAAATCCACAGGTAAATACAGAGA